AATGGTAGATCCACCAACAGCTTGCACCTTGTAACTGGAAAAGCCACAGACCCTCAACACCAGCTCATGAAAGCAGCCGGGAGGGATGCTGAACCCTGCAAAGCCACAGGAGTGGAGCTGCCTAGGACCATGGAAACCCACCTCTTGTGTCAGTGTGACCTGAATGTCAGACCTGGAGTCAAAGGAGATCATTTTGGAGCTTTAAATTTTGGCTGCCCTGCTGGATTTTGGACTTTCACGGGGGCTGTAATTTGGCCAATTTCTTCCATTTGGAATGGCTGTATTTACCTAATCCCCATACCTCCATCGTATCTAGGAAGTAACTAGCTTGCTTCTGATTTTACAGGCTCATAGGCAGAAGGGACTCGCCTTGTCTTAGATGAGACTTTGGTCTGTGGACTTTTGGGTTATTGCCGAAATAAGACCTTGGGGCACTCTTGAGAAGGCATGATTGGTTTTGAAACACGAGGACGTGAGATTTGGAGAGGACAGGGGCAGAATGCTGTGGCTTGGCTCTGTGCCCACCCAAAACTTTAGTTGCATTGTATCTCCCAGAATTCCCACGTGTTGTGGGAGGGACTCGGGGGAGGTAATTGAATCATGCTCTCTCGTGCTATTCTCGTGGTAGTGAATAAGTCTCATGAGATAGGATGGATATGATGGGTTTCTCAGGGGTTTCCGCTTCTGCTTCTTTCTCATTTTTCTCTTGCTTCCACCATGTAAGAAGCGCTTTTCACCTCCTGCCATGATTCTGAAACCTCCCCAGCCATGTGGAACTGTTAAGTCCAATTAAACCTCTTTTTCTTCCCAGTCTCTTCTGTGTCTTTGTCATCAGTGTGAAAACAGACTGATACCCTATGCAATGATTACACATCCTTCCTTACATTTGCTCTCTCTTTAAAGATATCTCATGGCTTGCTTTTTAATGTTTTCATTTGTGAATAGCACCCCTTCAGTGTCCCAGGTTAAATAAGACGGCATCCGTTGGATAGAACAGGTACCAGTTGATTGTACCAAAAGCTTGAACATAGAGGAAATCTCCCTCAACTTTCTGCCACCAATGTCTGAGTGAACTGAGCCAGTTCCGATGTCCTCAACAGAGGGCAGAAGAGATCTACGTTATATCTGGGTGCCTGTCGCTGCCTTTTATAGGGAATAATGGGATGAAGAAACCCCTTTGACTGTTAGTTTCTTGCTATTTCTGTTTTAATGAATTGACATTAATCGAAGAAGATCTAGCACAGACAAGAAGACATTTCCCAATTTTTTAAGCCGTACAAAATTGGCCAGGTCAGTTAGGAGGATACTGGAAATTGAGATAATTTAATTTTAGCAGCAAATGTGCAAAGCCGTCAATATTGATCTGATGATGTGATGGTGACATGGAAGATAAATGATGAAACAATACATCTGCAGCTGGTTTAATAGGGATTATCAAAGAATGTTGTAAAACACTTAACTAGTATGACTATGTCCACTCGTCCATCACTAACAAGACCCAGTTTCTATTCTCAAGCCTTCATCCTTCTACTTCAAAATGGAGGTGGTTAGAAGTTTGTGCTAAGACATGAAAAATGTCTTTGGTGCTGTGGCTATCCTGCTGGTACAAAGAAAGAAGGTCCAATTCTTGGGCTGCGTGGATTACATCTTTGCCCTAATGGTTGGATTTGGGACCCATTCAGCTGAGGATGAAGATATATCTCTCTTGGATTCAATTATCTTATTATTTAAAAAACAATATAGAAACATGCCTTTTCCACTAACTTTTCAGCTTTGTGGCTATTTAATGACTGTGTGGCTAGTCATTTAAATTTAGGTTTAATTACACTTAGCTTATTTAAATGTATTTTTAATTAGGAGAAAATAATACCTGTAGGTCAGGACTGTTGTATGTTATATGTATAAACTACCTGTGCTATCTCGGTGCTCTCTGGAGAAAAGAAATTGCTTCTTTCTCTAAATCTTCCTTGTTCCCTGCAGGAGGAGACTATACCTCTTCCCAGCCATGTCTCAGCAAAGAGCCCTGTTAATTTTGTTATATTTTATATATTTTGTTAATTTATTTTGTTATATTTTCCCAAATCACATAATTTAAAACATTGCTTAAAAGACATGGAACCAACCCAAATGCCCCTCAATAATAGACTGGAAAAGAAAATGTGACACATATACAACATGGAATACTATGCAGCCACAAAAAGTAATGAGACTATGTTCTTTCTAGGGACATGGATAAAGCTGGAAGTCACCATCCTCAGCAAACTAACACAGGAACAGAAAACCAAACCCCGCATGTTCTCACTCATAAGTGGGAGTTTAATAGTCAGAACACATGGACACAGGGTGGGGAACAACACACACTAGGGCCTGTCAGGGGTTGGGGGCAAGGGGAGGGAGAGCATCAAAACATATAGCTAATGCTCATGGGGCTTAAAACCTAGACGACTGGTTGATAGATACAGCAAACCACCATGACACATGTATACCTGTCTAACAAACCTGCATGTTCTACACATGTATCCCAGAACTTCAAGTAAAACAAAATAAAATTTTTTTAAAAAATTGCTTACTTGGAGATTTAGAGTAGCGATTCTTACATTCTGTGAATTTGTTGGCCTCCTAATGTGATGTATGTTTAGTGAAATACTGGTTTACATTTTCTGAATTATTCTCTGTACCCTCATGGTAAACATCTGTGATCAATTACATACCTTTAAAAGTCTATTCTGTGAACTTTGAACTCTCCCTAGTAAACATTTTTTTCATTTTTTTAATCTAAATTCAAACCTACTATCCCAATCTATAATGCTTTCGCCCCCTTTAGATGTCTTCTGTTACTCACTCTATTCTTTGATACTCCATCTCTACCTATTTTCCATTTTATTCATGTGTTCTTCCTCTCTCCCTGGGCTAGATTTCCTTAGCAAAGTGAGGCTGTGTTGAAGGGAGCAGGTGGCAACCATGCAGAAGAGTCTGGCATAGCACTCTTTCTACCAGGGACTCAATCGAGGTGATGACCACTATGATGGAAATGGCCCCACATAGCCCTGGGAATGGACACACCGTGCTGGTACCTGTTCCCATCTCTTGCAGTTGATCTGAGTCTGGGCAATACTTGCTATAAGAAATATGTAGTCTGTGGGAAAATGTAAGACTCTCAGAAACCCTGAAGGTTCACTGACTATGAAGATCGTAGACATGGTGTTCTGTATTTAACCCTTTTCCTGTTTAGTAGAAAAGGTGCAGCTCGCTGCCAGCGTTCATTTAGTTTGACATAAACATGCTCTTTGAGGCTGAAGCGAATTTGACTGATTATCAAGATAAAAATAAAATATAAAAACTGTTCTTGCAGTTATTTCTAAACAGAACTTGTCTCCAATCCTAATGTAACAGAAATATATATAATAATCAGTATTCGATAATTTTTTATGGGGGAATATTGCAAAGCACAGAACAACAGAAATCAGAACATCACATCCCACGCAAAAACACTGCCTTTCTCTACAGATCTTCCTGCCATCCTTGTCACTGGCGAGCAGCAAAAGTTGCAGTGACCCATTGTGTTTTGTTTCTTTGATGTTGGTGGTAATGCTCTCGGGGAAGCCTCTTCCAGACAGGCAAAGAGGTGTGACATCATCAGAGCATGGACGACCTCAGAGACGTTGCTGCCCTAGGTCGTGATGCTTTTTCAGCACCCTTTTAATCAATGTCAGTTTGAAGCTTGTATGGCTAATCAAGTGCTCAGAATTCTTCTTGAACAGGATGTAGTAGTTAAGCACTGTAATTTTTAGAAGGTGGTGAAAGAATTTCTTCTATCAAACCTTGTGTGTTATTTCATTAAACGCTGCAGCCTCCAGCACTGCTAACTTGTATCCTTGGGGCAAAAGAGAAAGGATTTAATGATATTTTAGGAAGATGTGATTTCTCCGTTCTGGATGTTGATCTCAGCCAGGAGAATTGTGATTCCTGCCTTTTCTCAGGGAAAGAATCTTCCTCTTCATTCCTGTAGAATCTGTCATGGAAACATTGCAGGGTATTTCTTCCTTTCAGTAGTTTCTCTTCCCTCATTTACTTGTATTCAAAATCAGCTCAAGTCCTATCTCATACAAACATAATCTTGAATATTGTAATACATATTGATTTGATTTTTTTCTCTGACTTCTTTCACTTAAAAATTTAGCACTGAATCAAAATACGTTTTCATGTGCCTGTTTTGTCTTGCCGATAATAATTGTGTAAGTGCTCTGCAGTTTGAGGTTTCTAATACCCTTTACATTTACTTGTATTTCCAAAGCACTGTTAATTTTTACTGGCAGGAGAGTATGTGTTTTATTCTTAAAAACAGACAAATATACACTTTCCAGAAGATAGTGAGTACAGTTATAGCCTAATTCCTCCACCTTCTGCAGTGTAATTTAAACCTTCTGTGATCATATTTTTTCCCAGCAAAATAAGATTGATCAGAGAACCTGGAGGAAGATTTTTTAAAATCAGTTTTTCTCTTTCTAAATTGAATAACAGAATTCAAATTCCTTAAACTTTCTCTTGAATCAGCACATGGACAGTAAGAAGCATCTAAAGAATTTGGAATATGTTAATGTCCTCTCGTGAAATATCAACCAAAAAAAAAACACTAAGCAAAGTAGAAAATGCACAGCAAGAGACAAGGATAGAAGAGGGAAGGTAACATTAATTAAAGAAATGGTAGAACCGGGCTAAGTGTGCATATGCCAGAGGGCTTCTCCTTGTTGGGACTCGGGAGTTTACAACACATTGGATTGGGAAGACTAAATCTAGAACAGTCCCTGACTTGTAAAGGGGTGAGGAATAATACCTCATTTTCTCCTTGCAAAGAAATGTGCTTATGGAGCTAGTTTCTCCTGAGAGATCCCTTTTCTCTATTGAGCACGAATGTGCCGTTGGAGCCAGCACCAGCCCTGAGTTAGGGCCTCTTCTCTCTGACGTCCGCTCTTTTTGGGCCGAGAGGATGTGGCTGTGCTGCACTGTGGATGAGCTGCTGGCACAGAGGTACACAGATGTCTGGTTGGTGCGGGCAGACCCCAGAATCAGGGAGAACTGCTCCTTCTTCTCTCTAGATACACTGTACCCATCAGGAACATCTCCTTCTTCATCGGTTTTAATATCATATGAGAAATAGATCAGCCGTAGCCCCAGACCTGGGTCTTGTCGGTACCAGAACATTCTTCCATGGTCCATATCCTGGGCACATTCCAGAAAAACTTTCTCTCCCACCCTTTTGACTAGATATCTTGGGTTCTGGGTTACTTTCACTTCCACGAGGCCTGTGAGAGACAGGTAGCAAGGGTGAAAAAAGAAAAAGGCCACCAGGAAGCCTGAGGAGAAAAATAGCTTTGTATGCAAGGCCTCAAAATAGCAGGACAGGGGTGGCCACCAACTCCCCAGACCCAGCTACTCCCAGGACTCACCTACTTCCAGGAAACAAAAGGCCACACTGCAGAGAAGCCTGATTCCCATGGCTGTTTTGAAGAAAGAATAGGTCTTCTTCCAGGACCAGGCTGTGGGTTGATGGTCTGTGATGTCATTGTCCCAGCCCACACCCATAATCCCTCAGGCACTGTCTAGACGAGAAAGGGTATAGAGGCACTAGAGAGTGAAGGGAATCCCTTGTTCTCATGGAATTGTCACTGTGTGGGGTGGGGTGTGTGTGTGTGTGTGTGTGTGTATAGAAAAGAGTTAACACAGCGGGCCTGAGACTGCTGTCCTTAGAAGGGCCAGATTGCATGGTTGGCTCTTGATTTGCATCTGCGAACTTGAATGTGGGGAGTGTTCCCACCATCAGTAACTGGTAAGCGTGGCTTACTGTGCCTAGGCTGCTTGCACAAACCGCGTGGGTTAGGCCGAACACCTGCTTCACTTGAAGTCTGGAATTCTGCTGCATGATAGTCAGAGGGTGCTGCTGTGATCAGCTGAATTATTTTTTGAGGGCTGCCATAAGTCACCCCAGACTGGGTCGTTTAAACAACAGAAATTAATTTTCTTACACTTCTGGAGAGTAGATGTCCAAGATCAGGGTGTCAGGAGGGTTGGTTTCTCGTGAAGTCTCTCTCCTTGGCTTGCAGATGGCTTCCCCTTGTGCCTGCACATTGCCGTCCCTCTGTGCATGTTTGTGTCCTAATTTTCTCTAATAAGGATACCAGGCATGCTAGTGAAGACCTCATTTAACCTTGACCACCTCTGTAAAATCCTTATCTCCAAACTTAGTCATATTCTCAAGTACTGGAGATTAGAATTTCAACATGTGAATATTTAATGACACAATTCAGTTCCTAACACGAGCCACCAAAAGTTCTGGAGGTGCTGAGTCTCTAATGAGCTTCCCTGGGCAGAAATGTGGTTCTTACGTTGCTGCATTTTCAGTGTCGGGATGAGACTGTGCTGTCTCGGGGAAGCAGAGCACATGAGGAAGTCTCATGTGAATTTCTCCAAACTCCACCATGTCTTTATTCCTTGTGATCATAGTATTCTTACTACATCCTTGTAATACATCTTTACTATGGGTACAAGGACACGCCGAGTCCCATGAATCCTTCTGGTGAGTCTCAGTCTTTGAAAGTGAAGGTAATTTTTTTTTCCTGACCAACTGTGATTAGGAGAACCTTACCATTTTTTTTTTCTCTCTCTCTCTCTCTCCGCCCCCCACTTTCAAAATATATTTTCTTGACAGAAGTCTTAGTTTCTCATACAATATACTTAATAATTACTACAAGTTGCATATTGGTTAGAAGGGCAGGCTTTGGAACTATAAGTGCCTGGGTTTGAACCTGGTTCAAATCCACATGTGTAGGTTCATGTGAGTGCTCGCATGTGTAGGTTTACCTGACCGGGTTGGGGAGATGGTGGGGGTCCAATAATGGAGTTGTAGAGGTAGATATTTAGCCCCAGGTGCAAGCCATAAAGAGTGCAAAGCATTTGAAAATAATCATAAAATCCAAGTGAAATGATTTTGCTTTTATTATCACCACGTGCCAGAAATTCTAAACAGTTTTGGTGATAAAAGACTCCTTCAGTGCAACATCTGTCCTTCTGTGACAGGCTGATTTCACTTAGCATCATGTCAAACACGTAGAAGCAGAGAGTAGAAGGATGATTGCCAGGAAAATGGGAGAGGGTATTGTTGAGTTGCCATTCAACTGGTGTAAAATTTCAATTATACAAGATAATTACATTCTAGAAATCTGCTATACAACATCACCCCTAGAGTTAACAATATCATACTTCACACTAGTTTTGTTTAAAGGTTAGATTTTATGCTAAGTGTTATTCCCACAATACAAAGAAATCTCACCAAGTAATTCTGGTACACATCGAGAAGCACCGATCAGAACAAAAGGGTCAGATGCAACTGTCAGTGCAATGCTTATACTACATTTTCCAGTAACGTTTTACTTGTGGTTATTTTGCTAACATTTTTCCTTAAAACGTTCTGATGGTCTAAACACTCTTTGAAACTGTATCTATGCACAATACACATCAATCATAGTCGCACAATACACATCAATCATAGTCGTATAATAGTTTTTAAGTTGTTTGCAGTAATATAAAATAGTTTTAATTATTCAGACTATATTCCTCAGTTTTGACATTACTGTGAACATCTAATATCTAATCCAACAGACTTGGCCTTACCACAAATCAAGCATACTGACACAGCTACCCAACACAAACACCCTTTGAACTTCAGTTTTACTAGACTATTTGCTTACACAGAATTTTACATCCATAAACATTCTTATCTTTATTACAGTTTTTTTTTTAATTTTACAAGACACGAAGTCTCAAAGCTTCTACTGGCAAAATCTGTAAGTGCATAGTGTAGTCTGACCTACTTAAATGGAAAGTATTAGACGAAGATTCAAATTGTCTCTGGCACACAGGTGAACATAAAGGGGCCCTGGAGAGGATCCCTGAAGACTGTACGTAGAATGTAGCCTTCTCTAGTAGGTAGTGTGAGGGAGCACTGGATTGATGCAGGTAAATTCTAATAAAGAGCCCAGGCTGAGGAAGCCCTGTTGAGACAGCAAATGAGAACGAAGGGAAAGAAGACATTGACAGCTCAGTCTACAGGTGCGTTGTTACCTGAGGTTGGACTTTTTTTTTTTTTTGAGATGGAGTCTCACCCTGTCACCCAGGCTGAAGTGCAATGGCTTGATCTCGGCCCACTGCAACCTCTGCCTCCTAGGTTCAAGAGAGTCTCCTGCCTCAGCCTTTCAAGTAGCTGGGATTACAGGTGAGCACCACCATGCCTGGCCAATTTTTTATATTTTTAGTAGAGACAAGGTTTCACCATGTTGGCCAGGCTGGTCTCAAACTCCTGACCTCGTGATCCACCTGCCTCAGTCTCCCAAAGTGCTGGGATTACAGGCATGAGCCACTGCAACTGGCCGGGGACAAACTTTTACAGACCAGGGCCCTCAGAGCTCTAAAAGTCTCAGTGCAAGGATCTGGGAGAGGCTCCTGAGTGCTTCTGTGGTGTCAGTGGCTTCTTCTGGTAAGGGCAGGCTCAGGAAGGTAAGACCATCTCTCCCTGTGGCAGCCTTTAGTGTGCAGAGAGGAAGTGGCTGTGCAGTGCTGCAGGTAACTGCTGCTGGCAGTGTCTGCGAAGGGCTGGATGTCTGGAGGTTATAAGAAATGCTCGGTCTTATCTCAAGAGACACAGGTCTATTAGAGACTTTCTATTTGTTTATTCTCTAAGCACCAACTGAGAAATAGATTACTTGTAGCTTCATTCCTGGCTCTTGTCTGGCTCAGCACATAGAGGTCATAAAACATATTCTGGTTGTATTAGCAAACTTTCTTTTCTGACTCTGAAACTTGATAAACTAAAATGTCAGTGACACCAGCATTCATGGACATTGTGGATTAAAAGAGAGAATGTGGGAAATATACTGATGTGTAACCACCAGGAAAAGGCTTAATGTAGGGTCTAGCAAAACAGGTTCAAGGACATCATACTTCTACTCGTGACCTACCTATTCCAAGGAGACAAAAAGCTATAGAACAGAGAAGTCAACAGCTGGTCAGTTCATGGTGGTATCTCAGTGTTGGTATTAGCTCTGTTCAGGCTGTTACAAGAACACACAGCAGAGAAACAACCCAGTCAGTGATTCAAGGAAATAGTCTTGGAGGAAGTGACTTCTAAATTGGTCTATGAAGGAGAACTTCCCCTGATCCTGGAGTTGCCCAGTCCCAACCAGACCTCTGTATGTCTGCACCAGGAGTTTCTTCACAGGGCCGCACAACCACTGTTCTCTAAACAGAAAGGACAGCTGCAAGAACAGATGAATATCAGAGACAGAAATGATATTCTAGGTAGAGTGACCATTGTAGGGGAAGATCCAGAAGTGAGTCAGCAGTGGACATTTGGGGACCTGTGAGAGGCGGAAAATTTCTGGAGTAGATGCAGGCAGTTGTGGTACTTGAAGGGTAGGGGAAGTCAGTATTAGACTGTGGACAGATATGCAAAGGTCACATCCTGGAGTGGGCTGAGAGGCTTGCAAACTAAGATGAACTTGAGACGTTAGCTAGTTAATAGAAATAAGCCAAAGGGTTTTAAGCTTGAGGGGGTGTTTGTGGGTGGGAGCAGGTCGCAAGCTTGCAGATGTGCGGCTACTTGAAAGGTGGCTAAAGGAATCCAGGTGAGATCAGTGAAGTTAGAAAAGTTAGTAAAATTTGTGAAGAATTTAGTATTTAGAAAAATGCAGGATGGGGTGGTGGATTCGTTCTGGAAGGAGAAAATCAGAGAGACAGTGAAGATCAGTCCTGCGTCTCTGGCTTGGGCATTTGGACAGATGGCAGGACCATATGCTGAGAGGAAGAAAATAGGAGGTGTTGGATTTCATCAATAACCCCAAACATGGTGTTCCTCCAAGTGACAAAACCTCCTGAATAGGACCTGGAATACAGGACCGAATATTGTTGAGAGCCATTAGGTTGGAAATGGAGTCTTCAGTTTGGGCAATAGCTTAGTCGAATTTAAAGATTTAAGCTCCACAAGAAGAAAGGATTGGGGAGCGTACCCTGGCACTAGGCCTAACACAGTTAGCTTGTCCTCCTGAACGTTGAAAGCTCATTGGTACAGCAGGTAGAGGATGGACCCCTGGTTCCGCAGAGCAGCTGCACTGCAGAGTCCCTGAGGCTGGGGCGTGGGGAAGAGCTTCTGCGGGATGATGGAGGAAGTTTTTCCTGTTGGTCGGAGAGGGCTCTCCTGAAGGAGGAGCCTCCTTGTTCCTGCAGCTGCCCTCCGTTTTTGTGCAGAGAGCAGCTGGCTGTGCAGCACTGTGGATAAACTGCTGGCGCAGAGGTACAGAGAGGTCTGGTTGGGGCGGGGCCGCTCCAGGATCAGGGGGAAATTCCTCTTCTCTTTTCGAGAGACGTTGTACCCTTCAGGAACATCTCCCTTATCAACCAGATCAACATTATTTGAATAGTAGATCTGCCTTAGGCCCAGCCCTGGGTCTTGTCGATACCAGGACATATACTCATGGTTCATATTCTGAGAACAAGTCACTGTCAACTTCTTTCCAGTCACTGTGATGAGGTATCTTGGGTTCTGGGTCACTTGGGCTTCCAAGGGGCCTGTAAAGGAAGGGGACACAGTTAGAGGCAGAGCTGAAGGGGATCTCCAGTGCTGAAGCCTTT